ACGCGAAGGGCGGCAAAGGGGCTGTGACCAAGGCCGACGAGCCCAAACCCGAAAAGAGCCTGGTTGTCCGGCTTGAGAGGGTCCTGAGATCGAACGAGTCGGTCGCAGAGTGACCCAAGGAGCAGCCCAGTAAGAAGCCTGAAGCTCCTAAAAGGCTAGGATCCCCGGAAACGGGGGGAGCTCGTAACGAACGCCGGGCAAAGGAGCTGGAGAAGATAAGGCAGATCGGGGAGAGTCTCCGTAGCTTTGTCTTCGATGAAGGAAACAAGCTCTCTAAACTGGCTACCAAGTTCATTCTGGATAGGCACGCTGAGTGCAAGGGCATCCTATTATAAGCCCTCGTTGAGAAGGAGATCGCGATGTGGTACAACCAGGGGTGTCGTTTGTGGACAACGTGCGAGGGGGGAAGCCAACGTCGGGTACACCGACCCAGGCTAAAGCTCCCAAGCCTAGCCGCACTGTATTAAAGGACAATAAAGAGACGGCCATGCCTGGTAACAAGGCTGCCTCGAAGCAGAAGGGTGTCGCGGTGATCGTGAGGTCACAGAACAAAAAGCTCACTGCTGATGAGGTTAAGGCCAAGGTGTTGGCCGTGAGCGGCGCACTCGGACGGGTCCGGGTGTGCGCATTACGCAGGGTGAATGAGGGAGTCGTCAATGAGACGAAGACCTCCGCAGAGGCAGAGGAACTGCTAAGGAGCGATGAGCTCAAGAAGCAGGGACCCACGGCCGCCACCCCGCAAAAGATAGGGCCGAAGATCCTGGTCAAGGATGTCCCATCCTTAGGGATCTCCAGGCCAAAAACCTGGAGGGAGTGGTTCCACCCGAGGAGTTCGCCACCCGGCTGACAATACGAGGTAGGAGGAAGGAAGGCTGCTGCAGTACGGAAGGGTTAAAGTGGTGCATGCCCGACTAGTGAGTGCTGGGTAATGCTCGAATAAAAGAAACCGCACTACGCGAGAGAAGGGTGTACTTCGGCATGCAGTCATGCAGGGTCGAGGACACATACGACGTACTGGGCTGTTTTAAGTTCCTAGGGTTCGGGCACAAAACAGCAACCTGCAGAAGCACAGTCTCCGCGCTTTGCTTCCGCTGTGGAGATGAGGGACACCAGCGAAAGGCCTGCGACAGGCCCATTAGCTGTGTGAACTGTCGGGCACGGAAATTGCCACACGGTCACCTGACCAAGGCATCACCCTGCCCTATATTCAAAATAGCAGTGCAGGATAGAGCAAATAGATACGCGGTTGTCGTGAAGAGAAGCAGGCGGAGAGCCCTGCTGATCAGGCTTGACCCCAACGCTGAGTCATACATGTGGCACAGCAAAGGCATGACGGGCCGAAGTGTTAAGGTTGTGAGAGGGGAGAGCCTGGAACAGGTGATCCTGGCCCACCGTTAGAGGTTCTAAACGTACGATCGGAAACGTCCACATACGAGACGGCCGTAGCGGAGAGCGTCACGTCACCCTCGTAAGGGGGCTGCGCGCAAATGTTGCATGGAGAATAGAACCAACCTAGTCCTCTAGCGACCACAATCCCATCCTGATTGAGATCACTGTAAGTGCAGCCAACAATACCACCGGAGAGCCGTCCGCTCTTCTAGCGTGGTCTATCAGGGAAGCCTGTTGGGCAGACTGGGAGGGGGCGGTGCTTCAAAGGGTCAGTCCTATGGCTGACTTCGAGAAGCGACCCCTCGGCGAGATGGTAGCTTCGCTGCAAGGATAGGTTGTGGACGCGAATGACCAGGCACTGAGAAGGGTTAGGCAGCCCGCTATGACAATACCTCCCTGGTGTATGTAATTGAATTCCCTTCATTAAATTTGAAAAATAATTATACTTTAGAGTCTGCCCTCAGTCGTCGAATGAGTGAGCATAAAATAACGGGATTGGTTAATTCTTATGCTGGCAGAACCTTCATGTTTACCAGGAGAGGTTATTGTATAGAATTGAACGATTGTATTGATGTTATGTTTGTTAAATATGTGGGTTTTATGAAGAAGATGTATTGAGGTATACCAAATATTATTAGAGGAGTTTTTCCATTTATTAACGGTCACCTCTATTTCTTTTCCAAGCATTATATTTTTGAATTCGATCCATTTACTGGTCCTGTTATAGAATCATTAAAAAATACCGGTACTGGCATATTTGTTAACTTTATAGATATTCAATGTAATACTAATTCGATTTTACATAAATTGTACAACATCGTTTCCAAATTATATATTACAAACAACGAACGAACAGGATAAGGTTTATTTAATACTGCATATTATGAAGAAAAAGAAGAAGATAATAGAGGAGGAGAAATCCTCTCAAAATCAGAAGTTTTTCAATAGTTCCGTTTCTCTAAACGAATAGTAGATAAACAAATAAAATTATTATGTCATAATTCAAACATCATAGTAGTGACATGACTGCTTTACTAACAACAATTACAGTTATTGCAACAATCTGCAAAGGATCTTTATGTCGCGACCATATGGTGCAATATATGCATTTAGATGTTGTCAAAATGATAGAGTTGCCATGTATATGGCCAGATGGGTGGAATAGAACTTCGGCATCGTATGACTTGTATTATACTTTTGCATTCAAAATAAACAGGAAACCAAATGTACCACTGCAATAACAAAAGAATAAGAAAAAAGAAATTTAATCAAATGTACTATTTGAATAACACGAAAACAAGAATTGAATTATCAAGATTTACCATTTGAAATACAAAACAACAGGAAAACGTATCAACTGCGATACAAAAACAGCGAACAGGAAATCAATAAACAAAACTAAATCATGAATGTGTGCGTTATTCTATATATAATTAAAAAATTTAACTTTTAGTACATTTTATTAAGTTATGGTGAGTGTGTGCTCTTCCTATAGTTATTCTACTTTCGAAACAAGTAATTAAGTTTATTCAATATGACTTCATCATCTGATCAAATTAATGTTGAAGCTCATCTGGGAGCATTGAACAAAGTAGCTTTGTGTGACTCAAAACCACTTTTACATTTAAAGGATATGGTCATGAACGAACCGTATCCAATACTTCACCTGGCACGAAGAAAAACGCGTCATGCCGATGCAATTGCATTAGACACTGAAGAAAACATAATATTTTTTATAAATAAATCAACATAATTTGCAGTTACCTACAAAAAGGGATCCAATAAGACGGAGCTAATTGCATTCCAACTAATTTAGTAGGTACCAGGTGGGAAATATGTTCTGCAACTTATCCATGTTACTAATAATCCATTTTTGGTTCTTAGATATTTTACACCGGCCAGCACTGACTAATACAAAAATGATGGACATTATGAAATGTGGGGAAAAACTCGATCTTGTTTGCGTGGAACAATGTGAAAGACAAATAAACTTGTAAATACAACGACTTTACTGTAACTCGTTAAACTACTCGTACATTTTACTACATTTCAAAAAAGTGCTTCCATGTTTTCATTATTTACTACAAAATTTGAACTCCCAGTGAATTTATGCAGGTTCAATCCTGTGTTGTGACATTTCCTCTTATCAACACAAAAATGCAAAAGACCAAAGTTCAATGACATCACAAAATATTCAAAAAGCCAAAGTTCAAAAACGTTGAAAACAACAATCAAATATTGACGTCCTCCTCTAATTAGGGTTACAAAAAATCAACCGCATTCTAAAAAGGGGTGACCGAAGAATGACCTTGAAAAACATCGGCGAAGTCATTCTGAAGAAGGTTGACGGAAGAAAGGTGTGATCTACTTCTTCAGCGTTGATCTTCAAACACGCGATCACCATGTAAAATTAGGCAGCTATCATCTGCTACAAGAAAACAACTGCACTGGCTAGAGAACAATCACTACAGAATTCTTTTCAATGCGGGTTACGTAAATCTAAACCAAATACCGCGTATCCTAGAACGAAACTTATTATATTGCATGTAATATATGTAAAAGGACATCAGNGGTAATCAATGAATTTCACCCAAACACCTGAGAATTTTAACTTTTGCGACGTCTCCATCCACTCAGGAACCAACACCCCTGGCAAAGACTTCCGGCCCTTAGAACACCACTTCATCACTGGAAGAGTCCTTCACCTTTGACTGGACAATTCCTGACGAAACGTTCTACTAAAGGATCAGAAGTATTGGGAGGATTTTAAAATGTGAGTACAACTGCTGTATCTCCTGTTTTTATATTGTTTTCCCCTTTTTCGTTTTGATTATTACACCGCATGGCATCGCATCTCCCGACGAATTTATATTAATTAATAAAATCTTTCGGTGAAATCATCGCTCCATTTGATAGTTCTCCAGAAAAGGTAGATAGGTTTATTTCGGATTGTGATAATTTTAACGCTAATGTCTCCACCACAACTCCAGCCTATAGAAATTTAAAATTTCGACACATTGTTAGTAATCTAACCGACAGAGCAGAATCTGCGTATTTAGTAGAAAGGCCAAGTGATTGGCCTACCTTAAAAGCTTTAATAACAACAAAATTTAAATCACAGGAAAATGAAGACTTGTTATTTAATCAATTAATTTCTTGCGTTAGGAAACCTAATTAAACTGTAAAAGATATTTGTAGCCCGAATTTTCATTTTACCATCGTTTTTAATGTTAATTGAAATTTTCCATTTCAACGCCAAGAAGTGCCTGACGATGTGGTGGTAGTCTACCTATCTTCAGAAGAAAGGACCTACATTGTACAACATCGTTTCCAAATTATATATTACAAACAACGAACGAACAGGATAAGGTTTATTTAATACTGCAGATTATGAAGAAAAAGAAGAAGATAATAGAGGAGGAGAAATCCTCTCAAAATCAGAAGTTTTTCAATAGTTCCGTTTCTCTAAACGAATAGTAGATAAACAAATAAAATTATTATGTCATAATTCAAACATCATAGTAGTGACATGACTGCTTTACTAACAACAATTACAGTTATNACATTTGGCAACATATCTTGCAGGTAGCATTTTTGAAGGGCGGTATACATAACAACACGATCAAATCAATTACCAACATGAAACCATTTGAAGTAATCTATGGCCCTTATAAAGAATTAAAAGACATCCCTGAGATTGATAAAATGAGCGACTACATTAATAAACACTTATCAGAATTAAAAATTACCTATGACCAAATTAAAAAGAGAAATGAAATCCTAAGCCAAAAGAATTTAGAAAAAGCAAATAAATCCAGACCTGATACCAATGTAACCCTACCAGATACTGTATTTATAAAGACTACTACAAATCGATCTAAAAGCGCACCTCTCTATGACAAAAGACAGGTAACATCCCAAGACGATAACGAAATAATGTGTAAAGTCAAAAACAATAATCAAAAAGAACATTTGAAAAATATAAAAAGAGTAAAGAAGCTTTCATTGTTACAGCCACAAGATGAAGCTGGTCCTTCTAATAACAATGATGACGACTTGCTACGTCATGACCAGAACGGAATTAATTAAAATACCTAGCAACGTCACCTATATTGAAGAACAATTAGGTTTAGCGCAAGCTCATTCCCACTATCACAAATTCGTTTATTTTATTAACATAACCCAAATTAGATTAAGCTACACTAGTTTACTATCTACTACTGCCATATTAAAACTTAAGCAAAAGAACGAAATATTTAATATATTAGAAAATATACTCATACAAATAGATGAACAACTTCAGAAAATCAAAATTACACGTACAAAACGAGGTTTAATCAACGGCATAGGAACCGCTTTTAAATACTTATTCGGAACAGTAGATGCTACTGACTACGACCAAATAAAAGAAAACATTATTACACTCTTCAATAACCAAAAGCAAACAATGGAGAGGCAATCGGAATACTTAACATTAGCTCATCATATTACCAACGATTATAAGAACACAATAAGCGAAATTACTAAAAATTTCAATGATACTTATACTCGACTCATTAAAGAATTAACACATATTAACTACTCAGTAGAATTATTACATCTTACATTAATTAGTCAACAACTATTAAACAAACTACTAATGATTGAAAGAAGCTTAAGTTTAGCTGAAAAAGATGCTATCGATTTCGAAGGAATTTCGCTCGATCAATTAAACGAAATGTTTAAACATTTAATATCTATTTATGGACAAAATAGAATTATTATGACCACTCAAAATAACCCTTTAGCACATCTGAAATTTAGTAAACAACAGATTGTCTACGACGAGAATATTCTATTAGGAATAATAGAAATTCCCATTACCGATCCTTTATCCTACAAAATTAATCATGTCTACCCAATAATTAGTAACGATGTCATATTAATGCTACCTTCTAAATTTAATTTAAAATTTGATATAATCAATGTTTGGTATAAGAAATTATTCAACGACAGAAAAAGAATTATTAGCTATCCTTGATTCATGTAAAAACTTCAGACCTTACCTCTTTGGAAGAAAATTTACTATTTTTACTGATCACCAAGCTTTAATTTGGCTGCATTCACTTAAAGAACCTCAAAATAGACTTCTGAGATGGAAAATAAAACTCGCAGAATACGACTTTGAAATTAAACATGTTAAAGGAAAAGAAAACCATGTAGCAGACGCGTTATCACGTGTAGAAATTAATGCTATAGAAGACGATAATTTCGACTTAAACTCTTTATTTCCCAATCCACCTTTAGATTTAGATAATGAACTATCTGACGAAGATATCCAAGCGATTTTAAACGACTATTTTCCAGAAAACAACGACGACATAATTACTATACATTCTAATGTCGAAAATCCCATTCCATCATTATTACTAACTCCTGATAAAATCCTACAAACCTTTAGTTTACAATTCTCTATTAAACCAAGCAATAAAGATCATTCCCTACTAAACATCTCACAAGGAAAAATAAAAATGACCATCTACCTTAAAGATTTCAACCAATTAGAAAACCTTTACACCGAACTCGAAAAACTGTTCAAGTGTAAAATCCCAATTAAAATAGGTATACATTATGATCCAAAAATAAATGATCAACAGAAAAATAATATCTTTACGATAATATACGACGCTCTTTCAAAATTAAATCCACATATAAAAATATACGATTGTAAATACAACCTGAAAACAAAAACAAAGGAAGAAGCCCTAGAAGACATAAATTTATATCATATCAATAACCACAACGGAATAAATGAAACTTATGCACATTTCAGAACAATCTTTTATATCCAAAATTTAAAACAGCTAATTACCGACTATATTAACAAATGCCAAATATGTAATAAAGGTAAATACGACCGCAACCCGTATAAACCACCTTTCAAAAGTTCTTTTACCTCATCTAAACCCTTTGAAATTGTATTATTAGACTTGTTCCAAATTGATAATGAACAATATTTAACAATACTAGACCACTTTTCTAGATACGCTCAAGCTTACCGCATTATTGATAAAAATGCAATTACAATAATAAAGAAACTTAAACACTATTTCAACCATCATAATCTACCAGGCACAATTTACACAGACCTAGGTAAAGAATTTGATAATATTCAATTTAAACAATTCTGTTTATCTTATAACATCGATATACATTACGGTTCGCATTCCAATCCTAATTGCATATCTCCTTTAGAAAGATTCCACTCAACACTCAAAGAAAAGGTACGATTATNATTAATCATGTCTACCCAATAATTAGTAACGATGTCATATTAATGCTACCTTCTAAATTTAATTTAAAATTTGATATAATCAATGTTTGGTATCTTACGTGTACAAAAGTACTTGACAAAAGATATTATTGTAAAACCAAAGTCCTAACTAACAATGCCAATATACAGCAATCTCCTACAATAAGGATAAACAGCTACAAAAACGTACAGACATTAAGAAATGGATCACTACTAGTCAGCACCAATAAAGCATGGAAATATGAAGACTTGAACCAAGAACAAGGGAACTACATAATCAATTATAAAGAAACCATCGAAGTCAACGAAAACTTCTACTATAAAGACCCCACAAGAATAGAAGATACTCAAATCAGATTAGTTTCTTATAACTTACCAATACCACAAAAATACATCGAAAATTTACCTCATGCACCAAATGATATGAGAACAATTAATGGAATTCTACAAGATATAGATAACAGGCCTCTACATCTAAAACCAGTCAACTTCGCAACACACGTCACCATTACTGGAATCTTATGTATAATTTTCATAATTACTGGTGTACTTATGTGTTTTAGAAAAAGCCTTTATTTACGTTATAATAATTGGAAAAATAATAAAGATCCTGCACCACAATTAGAACTAACTGAACCAATTCGAGAACCCTTTATTGGACCACCGCCAGCTACAGCTCCAATTTACCCGAAAATCACTGTATAACAAGAGATCGAGGACGATCTTTAAGCTAACCGGAGGAGAGTTATGTCAACATATTTATCGATAACCGATTAGTATATAAGCCAATGTAACGTAGGCATAGGGGAGCAGAATATTATAGAGTATTGAGTAGTGAACTGTATTTAAGTTATATTAATTAAAGTTATTATTATAATCAAGTGTTTCTGTCCCTTTCAAAAAAAATTGTTACGACGATCGTTTCATCATAACTAAATTAAACAAAGGCGCATGCGCGTATCAAGTTACGCATCTAGGTATTCCTCAAGCTTCAGTATGCACATGGGTTGCTTAACGTTAGCGCCTATTTACGCAGTTTATTTTTCGGCGAATCATCGTTTCGGTGTCTGAGACCGAGGTTACAGTTGATGCACGGTTTTTAGGTAAGACAGAGAAGTTTATAAATTTTGAATAGGTTATAATTAGTGGTATTTTTCAACAGAATTTGCTAATATGACATACGAGAAAAACCAAACAAGGCTCCAGAAATTCGTAAATGAAATGTTGATGGAAGAAGATGATGAAACAGTCCCCTTAGATGGCGATGAGAGTTTCTCAGAAAACAGAACAGCAACTTGAAAATACGGATTCGGAGCAAGACATCGATAATGAAGATGTAAGAAATATGGTGAGTTAGTGTCAGGAACGACACAGAATGCCGTATTTTATTTCTAAAGACGGCTCAAAATGGTGAAAACATGTTGCCTACAATCAACTGTGAAAACGCGCTCGATGAACATAGTGCCTCATTTAGCAGGCCAAAAGAGCGAAATTAGATTGAAAAAAAGAGCATCTGAAATATGGGGTTATTTCATGACAGACACTATGTTAGAAAAAATAGTTTTCTACACAAATGAGTACATCCGATCTAAATCATACAACACTACGGACTTGAGGACTCACAATATCACTGATCTAATAGAACTGAAAGTTTTATTGGCCTATTATACATTTCTGGTGCTAACAAAAGTAGCCGTCAAAACATTGAAGATTTATTTAGAAGCAATGGGATGGCGATGGAAATATTTAGATTGACAATGTGCCAAAGAAGATTTCAGTTTCTCTTGACCCACATTCGCTTTGACAAAAAGAATACAAGAGCAGAAAGACAAAGTTTTGACAAATTTGCTTCATTTCGTGAGATATTTGATGGGTTTGTATCAAATTTACCTAAACATTATAATCCTTCAGCTTAACTAACTATAGATGAAATATTAGCTTCATTTAGAGGTCGTTGTGGATTCAAGGTATACATTCTAAGCAAGCCAAATCGGTACGGTATAAAAATTTATGCCTTAGTTGACGCTAAATTATTTTATGTAATCAAGTTGGAAGTCTACTTGGGAAAACAGCAACAAGGACCTTTTGCTGTGGACAATACGAATCTTGCACTAGTTTGCCGGTTATGCGAACCTGTCCGTGAAAGTAATAGAAATACAACCATGGACAATTTTTTTACAAGTAAAGTTGTTGCCGACACACTTTTGAGTGATTATCATCTGACAATAATAGGAACAATGCGCAAGAATAAGCCACAGATACCTTCAGAACTTATTATGACCCGAAGAGAAGAGTTCAATGTTTGCCTTTGACGAAACGTCCACTTTAGTGTCCTACGTTCCACGTAAGAACAGTTGTATCATTGTTTTGCAACGATACACCATGATGAAAAATTGGATGCAACAACTGGAAAACCTGAAATGATTGTAGATTACAATCACACAAAAGGTGGTGTCGAGTCGATGTAGTGGACCAGATGTCTGAAGCATACAACTGTGCACGGGCAACTCGTAGATGGCCACTTGTTGTCTTTTATGAACTTTTGAATGTGGCAGGTATTAATACATGCATAGTATTCAGCACCAACAACCAAACATCAACCCGCCGTCGAAAATTTTTAGAGCAGTTAGGATATGAGCTTATTCAGGATCATATTTCAAGAAGATCTACAAATAAGAGACTTCCACGTACAATTCGATTACGTCTTCAGGAAATGTGTGGAATGAAAATGTTCCTGCAAACCAAAATCCAATTTATGGTCGATGTCTGCTATGTTCGTCCAAGAAGAATAGAAAAACCACGTACAAATGTCTAAAATGTAGCCGGTTCCTCTGCTTAGAACACCTCCATGGAATTTGTCATGACTGTTATATATGGGAAGATACAGATGAGTAGTACCAGTTATCTATACGCACTTATGTGAATAAGACATATTTTTTGTTTATTTTGTTCATTAAACCAATCCTTTGCAAAAGTTTTTTAACAAATTTTTTTAATTTTTTCTTTTTTTGCATGCCTATTATCAAATATAATGCTGTTCTATGGTACGTATAATTCCATGGTTATTTTATGTCAAAAAAGTGTAATAAAATGTATAAAAAATGTACCGAGACTTAATAAAATATGTATATCGGAGTCGTTACTGCAAAAAAAATTACAACTGACAGCTTTCTNCACAAGATGCCAAGGACAGACCAGTTAGAAACGAGATAGACTACTTCCTAATAAATGAAAGATACAGAAATGACGTTAAATAAGTAAAAGCATATCCAAGCGCTGATATTTTTTCTGATCACCACAATCCCGCAATAGCACGATTTCATATCAAACTAAAAAGAATGATAAATAGAACTAAAAAGAATCAAATTGACATCGGACAGCTACACAAAGCGGAAATCCGCCAGAACATAAAATAAATAACAATCTAAGAACATTCGGTATGAAAGGAGAATATGAGAACGGACATGACATAAATAAAAAATTTTAACTTTAAGTCAGCACTGATGAAACCCACGAAGACAATGAGTAAAACTGAGAAACGTAAAGCAAAACACGATTGAAAAACATAGATTCCAGAGATATTAACATCATTCCAAATCTCTATTATGGCCAAAGAGCAGTAGTTCAGATAGAAAAAATACAACCGAAGACATAGAAGTTAAGAGAAGAGTTCGTCAGGGCTGCGTGCTTTCGCCAATCCTTTTTAACCCTTATCATCGAACTCCTGGCTCTTCATAATGACGAAACCAACGATGGCATCAGTCGCGAACAACATTCTAATATCATCGACGTCCAATTAAATAATATTGGTATTCATAAATTAGAACAAAAATGTAAATGTTACACTTTTTCTACAGTTCTATACGCAACATCTGGAAACACCGCCAATCATACTAATTTCATTCCAAATATTGAACTTCTCACCGATGACTGTGTCAAACAGAGAAAATTTTTAAATCAAAGTGAAATTTTTATGGAACCAATTGATTTAAAAAACTTTAATCTTGATGAGTTAAGACATTCTCAACATAGGCTGGAAGATTTTTAAACCGTCCTCAATAGCAACACAACCATTCTTTTTCTCTAGCACATGGTTCATGGTATTCAACTACTATCGGAGTTTCGTTCATCTTATGTGTAATATTAATAATGTGCAGTTGTTGCAATCTATCGCGTGTGCCCGTGATCGGCGAATTCTTTAAAAACTGCAACTGTTACGGAATTCCCTATATTAGCATTACCAACCACAATGAGCGATATGAAATAAATGATGACAATTAGTTCGGCTAATGAGATTACGTGAAATCAAAGAAGAAAACGACGACGAACGAACCAGTCGAGAATCAACTCCATGTCTGTCTCAAGTTAGATCAAGACGATCGTCATCTACGAAAGACTATTTTGAAATGTAATTCACAAAATTTTAAAGTTATCTGTTGTCTTCACTTTCTTGTATAATATTGTAGTAAAACTAATAGGTTAATAGAAAAATAGTTATACGCATTTTAAGTAAATTTTTGTTCTTTTTCACCAAGACAATGCACCATGCCACAAGTTCATGAAAACAATGGCAAAATTCAACAAATTGGGCTTTGATTTGCTTCCCCACCCCCCCGTATTCGCCAGATTTAGCCCCCAGCGACTACTGGCTATTTGCTGATCTCAAAAAAATGCTCCAGGAAAAAAAATTTGGCCCGAATGAGGAGGTCATTGCCGAAACTGAAGCCTATTTTGAAGCAAATGATAAATCCTTCTATAAACATGGTATAGAAATGTTGGAAAGGCGTTGGAGAGATTGTATCACTTTAAAAGCAGATTATATTGATGAATAAAAATGTTTTTTGAAAAAAAATGTTGTTTTCGTTGTTAGTCTCGGGACTTATTGAACGATGTGTTATATGGGCGCGAATTCCTGCTGAAAACTAACCACTCTTCTGTTAAATAGTTGCTGCAGCTCCCTAACCTTGAAAGACAGGTGGCTGGATGATTACAGCGTTTACAGTACAATTTCAAAATTGAACATCGACCAGGAAAACACCATGGAAATACCAATAAGTGATAAAAGAGCTGCATGCTGGTACTGAAAGAAGATATTTTGGGGTGAAGAAGACTTTAGAAAAACTACGTGAGCGACTGCGTATGACTCTTTAACCTGGTTCGCAAGAAAAGACACCAGAAAATGGTAATAAATATATCCTCACTATGCAGGATGATTTTACTAAATATTCATTTGAAAAACCTATCACAAATCATGATGCATTAACCATTGCCAATCATCTAGTTGAATTCATCATGATATTTGGTATCCCGAAAACTATTCTTTCCGACCAGGGGCAAGACTTTTATTCAGAAATAATCAAAGATTTAAATAAACTGTTTAAAATAAAACATTTCTTGTCTAGTCCACATCATCCACAAACAAACAGCGCCTTATAACGCAGCTTCATACTCTAAAGGAATTCCTAAAACATGATATAAATCAATTTCAAAGTAACTGGAAGACTATGTTCGGGCTGGTGCGGCGTGGAATAAAAGCTGCTTCGAACCACTCAGTCGCGTGATGCAGCAGCTGGTGCGCACGACAATCCAGAGGTCGACCTTACTTATGGGCCAGGTGGCGCTCAGCCTAATCATCAAGGCGGAAGAGCAGTGGGGAATCCGCGTAAACCTGGCCATGTATGACCTAGCCCGATCTAATGAGGGATACGCGGAAGCTGCAAGACTGGGCGCGCGAGCATTCGCGAGCGTGGGCGGTCTTGTAAGCCACAGCAACCAGTTCGCTGCGAACGTGGAACCGAACCTAGAGAAGATGCTGCCGGAGGAAAGAAGATCTTCACGAAATTCATGTACGACTACAGTGGACCACTACCAAGACGGCTGGAAATCGAAGCCGCGGAATAGAGACCAGTCGCAGAAAGGAACAGGCAATGACATTGGCTTAACGTCATCAGATACACTAACATGCGTACCGACACACCATGATTGATTTTTACATTTGAAAAAGCATGTGAAAGAGAGTTGGAATGTCAGAAGTAGGTAAGCTCCAAGAAGAAGACAAAAGAAGTGATAAAAGAGTTGCTTTCCTGAATGGAGACTTACAAGAAGAAGTCTACATGCAACAGCCCGAAGGCTTTGAATCAAATGAAACGGAATTGGTATGTAAATTAAATATTGTTGGGAGTATTATCATGTGGCTTATTATGTGCTCAGTATCATTGTGCGGACGCGTTCCTTGAAACAGGGAGATTGACCGATTATTATCAAAAAACAAACGTTGGTTACGAAGTGATCTGCCAGAGCGCGATCGAGTATACGTTTCGTTCCAGAATGAAGCACCAACAATTGACGAAGTTAGACGAAGTGGTGGGATTTTTATTGGATATGACGGAAGTATTTTTACCGTTGGAGATAGTGCAAAAACTTGCATCTCTTTTAATAATAGAACTACGAAATATGAGGATTAAGTTTGGAAATGCTCTACGAAGCGGACGGTTGAATGGCAGTGAAGGTGAAAGTGTGAATTTCTCATGGTACCGTCAGGAATCGAAGAAACTATATGGCAATTCACGGATAGGCTTTTGCGGAATCGTAGACGTCAAAAACAGGAATAGATTCAGCAATCGAATGAAGCATATGGACATAAAATTTCACTTATCCAAACACAGGGATCCTTACCAAAACGTAAAGTCCAGGGATACTTTAGCTAGTGAATATGTAAACAAAATTAATAATATCCTAAGTATAGTTAGGAGCCAGGCTATTGATAACTTAACACACCACTGTATATTTTTCAAAAAATCGATTTTTTTTTAGGTTTAAAAAATAGTTTGAACATTTTAGAATATGGGAAAAAATATTTCATATCTCAAAGAATTTTTTTTCCTTGTAATTTCGAGCTCTTCCCCAAGCGCGTCGGACTGCTCCGAAATGATACCTGCGTCAGATGAATACCCGCTGGGAAGGTACAGCCTAACGTCTTACCTTTTGATTTCCATCTTCTCAAATACACTGACAGATGTCATTGTCATGTCATAAAGCATTTATAATGACAGGTATAATTCATTAGTATAGAGTCAACTCGTGTACAAAAAGGACATAATTTCGTCGCTTGAAATTACGATTTTTGTGTGTAGTGCTGATTTTTAACAATTTATTTGTAATCGAACAAATTATTTGTTTATTTGCTTATAAGTTACAATGAGTAATGCAAAAGTATATCAGGGCAAGAAAGGTACGAAAATATCGTATCCAACGCGGCGTCGTAGCAACGTGTCATCGAGACGACCGTTGAATAGATATGAGACTGAGAGTGATCCGACAGGAGTCAGTGCTTCTGCGAAGAAATTAAAATTCAGTGATGAAGAATTCGATATTAATTATGATTTAAGCTACAGAATTATAAATTTTTTTGCCGTTTTCTCTGCCATTTCACAACACGTGAAGTGTAAAACGTGTGATTCAGACATCACGTTTCACGAAAGAAGTCCTCGGGGCTTAGGCTTCAAAATAGTTATCGTTTGTCCGAACTGTCCTCATGTTGTTATTCCAAGTAGCAAATTCATACGAAATGCATATGAAATTAATCGTCGAATCGTGTTGGCAATGCGACTACTGGGAATAGGACTGAATGGAATAATAAAATTTTGTGCTTTTATGGAATTGCCGCGACCGATATTCCAATCTTTTTACGACAAACTAGTGGATATCATCTCGATCGCAACAACAACCGTACGAGAGGGCAGTATGAAGAAAGCAGCGCAAGAAGAGAAAGAGAAAAGTGAAAAAGATGGACAACTTGAAGGGATAACTGTTTCCGGTGATGGCTCGTGGAGGAAACGCGGATTTTCATCGCTTTTTGGAATCACCTCATTGATTGGCTGGCGTACAGGCAAAATCGTCGATGTTGAAGTGAAGTCAAAGTACTGTAAGTCTTGTGAGCACTGGAAGAATAGATTAGAAACAAGTAAGTATGAAGAATGGTACAAAACACACGTCGATGAATGTCAAGCAAATCATGAAGGCTCAGCTGGTAAAATGGAGGTAGACTCTGTCGTAGAGATGTTCCAACGCTCCGAAACTTTACACCATCTCAAATATGCAAATTATATCGGTGATGGTGATAGCAAAACTTTCAAAGGAATAATGGATAA